GCAAATAAGGGACACAGTGGCTCAGTGGCTAAAATGCTGAGCTTGTCGATCAGAAGATCAGCAGTTCAAGTCTCTAGAGCCGTGTCGTGGAGTGAGCTCCCGTTATTTGTTGTCCCAGCTTCTGCCAAACTAGCAGTTTGAAAGCACGAAAAAAAAATGCAAGTAGAAAAATAGGAACCACCTTTGGTGGGAAGGTAACAGCGTTCCATGTGCCTTCGGCATTTAGTCATGCCGATCATGACCACGGAGACGTCTTTGAACAGCGCTGGCTCTTCGGCTTTGAAACAGAGATGAGCATCGCCCCCTAGAGCTGAGAACGACCAGCACACATGTACGGGGGAATCTTTACCTTTTACCATGCAAATGACTCATCAGAGCCTGGGAAGCTACACAAACAGAATCTCTCATTTTTCCTCCTGTGTACTTTTTCATTGCCGCCTTCACAATTAAAAGTGTCACCAATGCTGGCCTTGAGCTTTTATGTATACTGTACAAGAGAAGTGGGGATGAAAAGGACAGCTTCTCAGTTTTCTTTCTTTCTTAAATTTGTGCCCCACTCATCTCCCTAGTCATGTGACTTTGAGGCATCTTGGCTGCTGCAGGACAGAACAAGCCATCCTGTATCAGGCACTGCTGACATTCAAAGCTTGAGATTGTTGGATGGGAAGAGAGAGTTGTCTGTTGATTGAAAACTTTAGGATTTTGGACCCTGAAGGACATTTGTGGTGGGGGCACTGCAAAGTTGCTTGCACACCAATAGGCATATGTATGCTATGTATATTTATTCATAATCCTCTTACCTGCACCCTAACTCCAGGGAAGATTGGTATGAAGAAAATGGGAACTATTTCCCCACATTGAAATAATTCCATAGTACTGCATTTTTATTGTTCATATTGGACAATAGGACAGCATGGAACTATAGAGTTGGGTGGTCCTGCAAACTACAAGATGTTATGCATATTGCATATACAGCAGGAGTGGGTTCTGCCAGTTCTATAGAAGAGGTTCCACAAATCTACAGTGCTGTTTAGAACCGGTTCCAGCTCCCTCCCCCTGCCCGTTCGCACATCATCAAGATGAAGAGCGAGAGGAGGAATTCTGGGAGTTGAAGTCCACAAGTCTTAAAGCTGTCAAGTTTGAACACCCCTGTTTTTTTTTTTTTCTAAAGGGTTAGGGGTGCAAGGGTCTTGTAACTTGACAGCTTTAAGACTTGCGTGCTTTAAACGCCAGAGTTCCTGAGCTATCATTTTGGTTGCTAAGCAAGAGTGAGTTTCACCACATTTTACAAGTTGGCCACACCCACCCACACCCACCAAGCCACTCCCACCCAGTCACATGGCCAGCAAGCCACTCCCACAAAGCAGGCCACACCTATAGAAGAGGTTCTAAAAAATTTTGAAACCCACCACTGATATACAGGTATATAAGAGCATGTATCTGTAAATGTGATGGACCAGAAAGCTGAAGTTGGTAATACCCACCTGACCTCCAGCTCAGTAGGTGCCTTTGGGTGCATCATTCTCAGCTCATCTTGACTCAGAATTAAGACATGTCATATATAAGCCACCCTGAATGCTCAGGAGGAAAACAAGTTGTGAAGTAAATGAAGGCCAAATTTTTTAGAGCTGCAGATTGTATATAGATTCATTCTAAATAGAAATGTCGAAAGTTTGTCCAAATACTGTTGTGAACTATCAGACATTAGTATGTGAAGTACTTCAAGTGTCACTTTGTATAGCAATTTTTCTTCAATTGCTACAAGCTTAGAGAAAAATGCCTGCATCATGATCTCTTACATAGTATATGAAAAAATTAAGGCTGTTGATAAGATCAGCCAAAAATAAGTGGAAATCAAGGATGGCTAAAGGAGTTGGATGCATTATGCATAGTAAGACTATAAATGTTGATAGGCTGGGCTGCAGCATGCAGTCACCTCAAAGGATGGAACAAACAATTTTAACAGAGTTAAACTGCATTTGATTAAAACTGCTTAAAATAACAGCACTGGCTTCCATACTTCAGTCTCAACACATTTTATACAATATTTCTGAATTTTCTGAACAGAAAAAACATTCCAATTGGGAAAGAAAAACAACGAGCAAGCTGGAAGAACAGAGGGCAAAAGATGCTTCCTGCTAGCATTTGTTTGATCATTATGCATTTACATTTGTTTCTAGTGGGAATGGAGCAGAGTTGAATTTGGCATTTTTCAATATTTATGCATAGATTTCCCTCAGTGATTGTAAGACTACATTGCACAGTCTGTATATTTCAGTTACAAAAATATTTTTTTCCCTGCATTGAATCCGGGGATGCATCTCTCTATCTTATTCTGCCTCTGGACCAACAGGCAAAATCACTTTGAAGGATGTTCAATATATATATATTTTTGTATCTCACAATCAATTGTAAAAAACATTGAATTTTGAGGAAAATGGCTTTTTTAAACAGAATGGTAATTATTCTATAAACTTGCGGAAGCAGCTTGTACACATATCAAGTTATTTCCCTCCTGTTCTCTTGGCCTTCGTCATATAAATGATGAAATGGATATCTGAAAGGTTGTCATTATTTTCAGCTCACATGGCCAGTGCCAAGAAAACTTGTACCTGACAAACCACATATCTGGAGTTTGGGAAAGAAGCACTGAAGCAGGTGCTTGCCTTTCCATGTTTCCCTTTCTTATTTGTATAGTTATGATGTATGAGAGAGTGAACACAAAGCTTGACTATTTTAATTTGGTTCATTGAGACTCATTTTGTTAAGCTTTTTGGAACTCAGATTTGCAATAGCCGGTGTCTTTTTATTATTCAGTAATTAAATTCATTACATGCATTTTTTTCAAATGGCTTGGAATGTAGGTGGATAATAATTCCCCAAGCAATTTCAAAAGTATTTAAGAATAAAGAAGTTTCATGGGTAGGAACTGGTCCAGTAGAGCTGCCTGCTGGATGTCACATGGAGGGGCCCAGAAAACCTTTTTCTGCTCTGGCTCTATTATCCTTCCCTCCGAGATTAGGTTAGTCCTAATGCTGCTGGCCTTCCAAAAATTTGGCTTTGTGCATGAGCCTCAGGTGTGTGAAGGACTTGTCTTTTGGCTTTATTGCTGGTCATTTTATGATCTCGGCTGCGCTGTTTTTTAAAAATATTATGCATGTTAATGGAATAGATGGCATCTATAGTGATCTATGGACAATATATACATTATATAAACAAGCACATTGTGGTGTGAATGCTGGGCAAAGTAAGGAGTCAATAAGAACTGTAGATGTATTCAATGTTTTGGATGTGGAATTTCTGATAACCTTGGAAATAAGAGTTTCATATTGTGTGGAAAATTAAGTTTAACATTTATTTCTTTTGAAACACGCAGTTATAGTTCTCCAGACCACGTCGATTCCTTATTATTCCATCCTGCTTTTCAAAACAGTTTTGCTAGGAATCCAAAGTACATAATATGGTATTAGAGAAAAAATAATATCCCTCTGGATTCTGTTCTAGGCATGCCTAGTGCAGACTTTGGGTTGTATATGAAAAATGGATTGGTGTTCTGTGTGTAAAAAGCTTCATTTCTGAACTTCAGGTTCTAACTGAATGAATAGAAATAATCTCAAATAAACCATATTCAGAAAACTTACTTTTATTATTAATGTTCATATATTTTTTCCTCAAAAGTATCTAAGTTATACATATTACCCTTGCTTTAAGTACAAGTATTTCAAATGTGTATGTATATATATATATATGAGTGTATAGTATGAGTAAACTGGAGCACAGAAACAAAACAAGAAGAAACAGTAATCAGAAATTACTTGGAAAAATAAGTATCTTGATAAGGTCATGTCATCAAAGTGATAGAGTGACTAATATAAAAAGAGCAGGCTCATTATAAAACACGGTTCCAGACATGTTATGAATAGGTAAATTGTCATGCCACATTTGTTGCATATAGTAGTGATATACATTAGTTACACGCAACTATTGCTGTCAGAGGAATTATGCTCTCAAGGGGAAACTGTTCGTGTATCAGCTATTACTTGGAGCTGATACAGTTCTAACCCTGTCGTCAGAATCTATCTGCATTCAAACATGCAGATCTCTAGCTGTTTCTGTTAAGGAACTCTTTTGCTTACAGTGCAAGTAGATTTTACAGTAGATTCAGCCTATAGAATTTATACCCTACCTATCCAAATTCAATTCAATTCAATTCAATTCACCTCTCTATGTATGAAGGTCCATTTAGACTGTAGATTTACAGGACTGTAGAAATATAAAATATCTCAAGCACTTTATGGGGAATATTACCATTTGGTAGAACAGAAACTGTGCAGCTCTAAATCAGAACAGTACCAGATTACTTCAGCTGCTTTAAAGCAGATTTAAAGTATATTTTTCTTTTTGCCCGTGTAAGTCTTAACATAGCCACATTTGGTTCTGTTCAGAACTGCCTTGAAAGGATAGGAAGGGGGGGAGGAGAGAGAGAGAGATATATATACTCTTGAATATATGCCAAGAAGGGTGGCAAAGAACATTTAGGGAGACACCCTGCCAGCCACTTTCCAAGTTACAAGTCTATTATCCCCTTTCCATAGCAAACTCTCCAATTCCTTAAACTAGCTTATACTTAGTAAGTTTAACTTCAGCTGAAAAAGCTGCAATTTTACATAAGAATCTCAACTTAATTTTCAAACAAATGCCACTTTTATATTAAACCTTAAGAAATTGTAATTCTTTAGGGTTTTTGTTTTGTTTTTTACAAAAAAGAAAACTAAGATTTTACATACAGCAGGGGTTGGATCTTGCTTGGCAAAAATCAATTGCTCTCTCCCAAGCTTCTTGGGAGATAAAAGCTGAAGAAGCCTACTGGATTAGGGACTCTGGGACAATGGACAGTATTCTGACTGCCCCAACAAATATGTCTCTTCTAAATTAACTGAAAGGTAACTCCCACTTTCCTTATGATTCAGCCTCTTATTCCAGATCTATCCCTGTAGTTTCCACAACTCTGCTGAAAGCTGAATATAATTTCTAATACTTCTTTCTATAGTATATTGCTTCAGAACTCAGGAGTTGCAGCAGATACTCCCTCAACAAAGTTATTCAAAGGCACTGATCTTCAAACTTCTGACTGTAAGAAGGAACCAGTAAAGTTGTATTTTGCCATATGTCTATGTGTGTGTGTGTGTGTGTGTGTGTGTGTGTGTGTGTGTGTGTGTGTTTGCCGTTTTTAAATGTTTGCTGTCCCAAACATATAGTCCTGGTCTAGATGTATTTCACTATAGCTGACATCCAATACACTTGAACAGGTTAAGAATTAAACTACATTGTACATCTTTGGAATAATATCTATCATGATTGCCTTGAATCCTTGCTTCCATTTCTGTACAACTCTTGTTACATCCATAGTATACCTAGTCTCCCCCCTTTTTAAGGCCTATCTTCCCCTTCCCCTCCCCCACCCTGAAGAGACACTTTTGGTCATCCTCAGTCCTGCTCACGGAATGGGAAAAGAACCTTCCTCTCAAGTTGCCGTAGCTTCCCATATTTGGTGGGCAGGATCTTTCTTTTGTGCTATGGAATGATCCATAAAATCCATACTACCAAGAATTAATTTAGGCTTGTCACTTTAGGCACCTTAATGATTTGCACACAGAGGCACAAAGCAGGCAACTGTTATTCCTACTGAGATTCTCTTGCAGCTTCTTATAATATATTTGGAGTTACAGCTGTGTAGAGATCCATATGTGAAAGGCAAAATGTGATTCAGCGCATGACACCATCACATGCTCCAAATTTTACCCATCAACTCCAAATCGCTGCAAGCCCTATTAAGCATCTAATACTTGCATTTTTACTAGAGAAAGGAGTGGAACCTATTAAAAATATATCTGGATTGCAGAAATGCAGAATGATTGCTACACAACAGCAAATAACTGTTGTTATTTTGCTGCCATCTAATATTCATTTGCATTTTTGCATCCCAACTACTATCCTTAAAAATAGATTTGGAGTTGCCCATGAAAATACAAAATTATTTTTCAAGTTGGAATGTCAAACTGTTTTAATCTGTGCAACTCTGTTTTACATGGGCTCAGTTAAAAAAATCTCTAATAATGGTACTGTGGGATTCTCCCACTTCCAAATTGATAGATTAACCAGAGAGAACATTCTAAGAATTGCAAAACTGCACCATTGGTGGTATAGTCTTTAGCATGAGGGTTGGTTCCAGAAAAACACCTTATTTTCAGGACTGTGTGTAGTATTTTTTTGCAATCCTTCAGAAAGATCTTATTAAAAATTGAAGCACCGGTTAGAAAGCAGATTTCCCCCGCCCCCCCGACTTTGGGTTACTTACTATTGATATTAGCATCTCTACTACCTGCCAAGCTCTGATGTTCAAATTAATGAATGAATCTGCACTTATGAATCAGCCACTTACTTGATTTTTAGGATGAGTAACAATCACATCCAAATAACTAGGTATTAAAGCTTTGTTATATTGGAAAGTAAACTATTCTCTCTCCTTCAATTTTTCATCCCATCCATCTTAATTTTGGTAATTAAGAACTATGGAAATCTCATGTTTTTGTATCCTAGCATCCACTAGGCCATATTTTCCTTTCCAATTCACACTGGCCACATCAATTGGAATATTTGAAGGATCAAATATTACATCTTTCCTACACAAAAAGCACATGCAGGCAACAAAATCATGAGAATACGCTTGATGGTTACAAATAGGATTACTGCTTCTTGGGGAAAAATAGCTGCCTAGTTCTGTAGAGCATTAGGCTTTCCACACAGGAAATTCGGATTTAGAAATAGCCTGTAAATTATACTGAATCCTCTCATGCAATAAATGTGTAGGGAATTACAATTTTAAAAAATGGATTATAAGAAAAGATTATTTTACAAGAGATAATATAGAATTTCTTCCATCAGAAGAACTCATGAAAATGCTACTTGCTGCATAGCAAATATTTGATTACAATGGGCAGATCCCTCATGTTTTTCTAGTGTTGCTGTTCTTCATTAATTAAGTAGTTAGTCACATTTAAGGCTGAAACCTCAACACCAGATGAAATTGAGATTGCACATAGCTGCCTTTTCCCATTCATAAGCATACCGAACCTTTATGTTGAGGCTACAAACTCTAAAGTTGGAAGCAAAGAGATTCAGAAAACTCTCTCTCTCTGCAGCCTTTTAAAAGTTGCCAAGATCTAGAAGCCCTAATTAAATTCCTTCATGCATATCTTACTCTTTCACTGTATATCCTATATAATAATTGGCTTTCCACAACAATTTTCAGCAGTAACCTTCTCTGCTGATTAAGTGCTATTTGGAATTTTGCCTGTGGCTGCTGAAATAGCCCTTTTTTCAGCCTACCTGCCTACCTACCTAACTTGCTGCAAAAGTTCAAATAGCCTCTAGATGGCAGTAGAGTTAGAATTATCTGCATCTATTTGGATTCTTGCAGCACAGTTTTGTTAGGCCCACTCTTTCTTCCTTCTCTTTGGTTTCCTTGCCTTCCAAGAGTCACTAATGGCTGGCCAACTTTTAAGTCAGAGTGGGAGCAGGAATTTGAGAACAATGGAATTATTTCCCAGCCTTCAAGTGGCAATGACCTTCTGTATATAACAAGGCAGTTCTCGGGCATAAAAGCTATTAGGCAAAGGAATGGCAGCCTTGGCATCTATTCCCTATTGTACGCCTTCATTCCTCCTTAAGAGATCTTTGAGCAACCTACAGAAACTTTATATATTATTTTTTTAATTATTTCTCTCTTAAATATAACTTTCAGTTTTATACTTTAAGTTATCTGTAGCACAGGTAACAAAAAAGCAGCCCGAGTATTTACATTTCTTGCACTGAACAATGATTTGGCTTCTGGAAGCAGCAGCATATCTTCAATGCTTTTAAGTCTTCTAGATACATTATTTTACATACTCTCATTTCTCCATGGTATCAACTCTGGGGCTAAATGTTAATGGTCTGAGTACAAACCACATCCTTTCAAAGTGCAAAACTGTGCTGTTTCTATTATCACTCTTCTTTCAAGGCCTTTTGGGGTTTGTATGAGGATAAATCCTTTGGCCAGATTAACTGGAATACATATTAGAACGTTGTGACATGTTCTGAATTCCTCAGCCTCCTAATCCTATTTCTGTCTGTCATATACTTGGTCCCATTAGAAGGCTTGAAAAATTTCAAAGAACAGGGAAGAATTAAAATCTGGCAAGAGTAAAAATAGAATGCTGTGGAAGATGCCCAACTTTGAAACATTCCAAAAATTATTGCAATATAAAAAATTACCTCAGCACCTCAGGAACTCCTTGGGAAAACCAAAAACTAGATTTGGTAAAAGACTGGACAAAGTCTTTCAATACAATGGCACTCCCAGCTGGGAAGTCCACACTAATGTCTTTGCTAGCTCTTTCTTCTGTAGAGTAAGGGCTTTAAAAGGAGCATGGTATTCTCCTCCCATCCCACGCCGGGATACACAGCAATTTCTTGTAAAAAAATAAGTTAATTCAGGAGCCCCTATAAGACCTTTCCCCTCAAAGAGGGGCTGTTAAAAGAAAAAGAACTTCCCTTCCCAGTATACCCCAAACACCAGACACAGGGTTTCAGAGTGGCTTTTGCTTAGATTGCTCAGCTGCTCTCTGGCCAATCCATGTTTCTATTTCTTTAAAAACAGAAGTAGTCACATCAGGAAGCTCTTTGTGGAGAGCATGGAAGGCTTCGTCATATACCTGCAGAATGCAAGAAAGGAAGTTGAAGGCTCATTGCAAAATACTTCTGATAGACCATTCTTCTAATATATGCTTTTCGTGCCATTTTAATTTGACAACTCTGGCCACATCTTGTTCTATAGCTATCAAATTAACCCAATTTTTGAAGTATTATCTTTAATTAGGGAGCAATCTTGACTTTTGTATTTTTAATTTTTTGCTTATTAGGGAAGTGGTTAGTACTTTACAATATTTTAATCACATACATTCCCCTAGTGCTCAGATGTGTTGTATAACACTGCTAAGCAGCACTAACACAGACTCTTTAATCTTTCCCCATTGCAATACTTTTAGTGTCCAGGAATTAAACACATTGGGGCATAGATGTAGGAGTTTCACTGAAGATTGCTCCTTTCATACATATTTATATTTATTAAATTTTAGTAATAGCTTAGAAAATCCTCCTAAATTGCTGGAAGACATTTGCTGGTAAAGATCTCAAATATCTGATTAATAAAGTGTTACTGAAATATTTGTATTCATTGAAATGCCACTAAGTATTTCATGCCCTATTTTGCCTGCTCTGTATATTCCTCCTGTCATGTATAACATCAAGAAAAAGATAATCAACTTTTAAAATGTTATATCTACAACTCTTTTCCATCTATATTTTAGTCCTGTGCCTTTATTTCTCTCCAGCCATAATGTGTGTTTTTTTCCTAATACCTCCATTATTTTCTCTTCTAATTTGGAATTTCCTGTCTGAATGCCCATTTACTCAGTATACTCACAATAACCCTCTATTCTCTTTTCATAGTGACTCTATGAAAAATAACCTAATCTGTTCCTTATCTACAAAATACATTTAATATTTGTTTATATACTTAGTTACACTCATCACTCTCTTATGTAATCTTTATTTGCAAATTTTAAGTAGAAACTATCTTTTGCTAATCTCTAATATTAAGTAAAGAATGCACCATTTTTGTAATTCACATTTCATCTGTTATGTTAGAATTCAATCATCTCATCCATAAATGTCTACTGTCAAGTAATAATACTATCTTTAAAATGTACATTGCTCCACCAACTCAAATCTATAAATATTTCTTATAAATATTAAAGGATGGCATGAGAAACTTCTAATCACGGTTCAGAGTTTACAGTATACACAAGAGAAAATCCTAAGGAAAATTCCTAAATATATTCACTGTGATGTTTTCAGTGTGCCCAATTGCACCACTAGAGACTGGAAATTATCTAACAGAGAAGAGGGAGTTGGAAGGGACTTTGGAGGTCTTCTAGTCCACCCCCCTGCTCAAGCAGGAAACTTTATACCATTTTAGACAAATGGTTATTTGTCCATGGGCAATATACAAATTTGAAATAGCCAAGTGGATGGATCATGCATTTTTTGATGATGATGTTCTATGCTATTTCCATGTGCAGTTTTGGAGGATCCTTATATCTATTTCTGATTAAAAAATTATGTGCTAATGAAAACTGATTCATTCTGTCTCCTGAAATGCAACTTGCTTCTTTTAGGTATTCTTTTGGGCATTTTTATAGAAGTGAGATTTTTATAAAGAGCCATTGTACTATTGCCATTGCTATTTTTGAATGAATGTATCTCATGATTAAGTCTTGCTAGAAGCAATGGGATTAATCAATCCCTTAGTAAACGGACTTTGAATTAGGATGAATGGGAGAAATTGAAAGTTTTACTTGAATATCATCCCAAAATTTATTTCATCCGAGCATTCTCAGTACTTGAAAAACCAAAGCATGCCTAAGTCTAGATAATTTTGTAAAATATCTGCTTAGACCAATACATCTGAATCAGAGCACAACTTTAGAAACAATAATTGTTTGATCCTGCAAAAATTGAATAAATTAACCTTGAATGTTTTATCCTGACTTGGGGCCGTATCCATCAACAAATAAGACCCTCTGATGTCGCAGAGTTTGTCCGGTGAACCATGGAGCACCAAGACGGGGAGAAACAGTTTAGGGAGAGAGCGTTCGATTTTGGCAATAGCATTCAGTAGCTGAATGACAAAGGAGACTTTCATGCCACCATGATAAACCAGGGGGTCTGAACGGTAAATTTCAACCTGTTGGGAGTAAAATGACATTTCAGACATTTTAGCCAGCAAATAAATCAATTTCATAATCAACAAATAAGTACTTTTTTTCTGTCATTTTGGAAGAAATATTTTTAAAGACGATACATTTTAATAGTCACATAACCTTTTTTTCACATTTGATTAGGTTACAAATAAATGCCTTCCCCTTTGAATTCAGACTTGAAACTTAATTTTTAACCTTATTTCAAATGTATGCCAATATCTAACAAAGAACTATGTCCAAGCAAGACTACTGTCAATGGCCAAAAGACGAGTGCCCTCTGGTAAGTGGCACAAGGGAATCTAACTCTCTAGATCAGAGGTGGAGAACTGTGGCCCTTTTATGACTTGTAGACTTCAACTCCCAGAACTGATGAGGTATGGAAGAAATTTGATTTAGAACAGGGGCATCAAACTTGCAGCGTCAGGTTGTTGCCACATGACATATCACGTCTTTCCCCCCTTCGTTAAAACAGGGGTGGGGTTGGCCACTGGTTTAGAAGAATTTTATTTTGCACACACACAGGGTCAGGGAAGGGGCAAGGGAGAAAGAAAATTATGCTATCGGAAAAAGCGTAAACTCTTTTTTGCAGCAGCCTGACATTTTTCATAGCAGCCCTGACATTTTCACCCAAATCCATTGGCCTTTTCTTTTCCAATTTAAACAAACGCTCTGGGTTCTTCCGGCTACTTAGCAACTAACTCTAGCCTAAAAACTGCCCAGTTGTTTGGTGCTGTTCCACAGCATCTCACACACAGAGGCAACATAACTCCAAGCAGTTTCACTTACTAAAAAGCAACAGTTTTGAAGCACTCTTGAAAGAAAGAAAGAAATCACAAAGGAGTGGGTGTTTGAATTGACAGACGTTCCCTTCCCACAGAGTAAAATTTCAAAAACTGGTATGACATACTCCCTTCGGCACCCCAGTACAATGCCACTAATGCTAGGAGATGGGCTTTTTTGTTGTTTGTCCTTCACCCCTAACCCTGTTTTTTACTGATATTTTAAAAATTCCTAGAAATACAAGAGACTCAACAGAAGTGCAACTATTGAAAGTTACTGATAGTATCTTGAAGTATGTATATCTTACTGATAGACATACTCCAAGTATGACATTACGTGACTGTCCAAGCAAGGGACACAGTGAAGGAACAGAAGAAAAATAGCTAGAGATTACACTTGGTTTTAAAACTCTGATTTAGCGTGAATATGAACATATTTGAAAGTGTTGCAAATGGACAGCTTCTGGAGAAAGAAAGGCTGTGGAAGATAATGATGATTTTAATGAGGGATGCAGAAAGGCAAGAAATGACAAGTCAAAGATCTTTCTTTTTTATTACATTTCTTCTTTTTCAGTATTCAGTCTGCATTCATTAATTTCTCTAAATATCATTTGCTCAGTTTTGCATACTATTAACAAATACCGTCCAGATTTTTCATGGAAGTTTTTTATAACTTAAAAAAACCCCTCAGAACCATAGATTCTCTCTTCATCCAACCACCTTTAAAGGCAGGATATTGAGACTAATGGAATAACTTAATAGTGATATCCATGTTTTGTGTACAGGAGGTCCTTAGTGTTTCTGATCAAAAGTGTTGAATACTACACCTATATGTAACCTTCACTTAAAATGTATTCATAGTATAGGTAGTTCTTATTTAGTGACTACCCTGAATGCAATCAACCTGCAACCTCATACAGAGATTGTGAACAGAAAGTAACTTTGCAACTAAGCCTCACATTTATGATTTTCACAGGTCTGCAAAGCAAAGCTGAAGTAAGATCATAAGCACAAGCATTGTTTCACTTAGTAAGCACTTTTGTTAATGCCTGACTTGGTTCCAATTGTGGTAGCTAAACAAAAGATTACCTGTAGTTGTTTGCTATTATTTATTACTGACATTTATACTTAAGAATATCAGAATTATATTTGAAATGTGACTCTACCATCCATTAATTTATTTACATAAATTTATTTTAATATCCAATCTGTGTTTGTTTTTTGTTGCTGTAACCCAATAAATTGAAATTTGCAATAAAATGTCTGCTTTCTGGATTCTATTTTGGGTAATTACACTGTTTAATTCCAGAAAAAAACCATACATGGTTGGTGTGGTTTCATTACTATTATCACATATTCTGGTTTTTATTATTTTGCCAATTATAGAACATACATCTATCACACAATTAAATATTAATAATAAAATTATATTGTCTTTCTACAAGCAATTGGAAATAAACTATGAAAATGTAGACAAATTATCAAAATCCAGGTAAAAGACCTTTTGAACTTTTTTGGTCTCATATACAATAAATCAAAGATACTATATTATCCTCTGTTTATTTAATTTATATATTGCATCGCACATATGCATCTCTTACAAAATAAAAAAATAAACAGCAAAAAAGAGAAGGAAAAATAAATAAATAAATAAAGCAATTAAAAACAATTAAATGTAAAATATGGGAGAGTACCAATCAACAGCTTATATAATCATTTCACCTGTTCCATACCTCCATTGGATTGCCATACAGATACAGAGTCACTATAGAAAGCTAATGCTACGTTAGTCTTTTAATTCAAGAAAACTCTCATAATTTACATCAGTGAAGTCCAAAGGACACAACTGATTTGGATTTGCGGGGCAAATATGGTCTGATATTACTGAGGAGTATCAGAGTGAAAAAACTTTATTAGCTCAAAAATGATAATAGGACTTAAAGAGGTTCTTAGAAATCTCCAAAAGAAAATCTGAAAGTATTCTATGAAAAGAAAATAATAAAATATACAGAAGTTATTTTGAAGACTGGATGGAAGTCAACTATTTCCACATACATGTTTGCACACACATATAAATTGCATGCCACCCTAGTTCATACTAAGCTTGAGGCAGTAATTTGTAAATATTTGCTGAAGAAACCTATAATTAGAAATCTTCAAACAACTATCATCGTAACAAATACTGCGATAAAGCTATTCCTCATTTAGCAACTACCTCATTGAGTAAACTTTTACAACAATTTTTTAACAAAAACATTTTCAGACCAGTGTGCATTTAAAACCAAATTTGGTGCACTTGGTAACACAGGCCTTCAGTGTGAAACTAATTAAAATCTGATCACTTTCAGGCAGAAGCACAGCCTGATGTAAGGTTCTAATGAACTAATTAAGGTCACAGAACTGAGCTTGTTAACTTGTGGTTAGCATTTTGTAGGGGAAAGGCTGCACTGCAGAGAAATGCAGCTTGGGACGAGATAGCTTGCTTAAGCAATCTCTCTGCTCTGTGTGGAGGGAGGGGACAGATCAGGTGGAGTATATCTGTAGCCCAGATTTTTATAACTTAGATATATCAATACTCTTAACAAAAGAAAGCAAATGAAACTCTTCTTAGAGTACCATCTTAGCTGCTCCCATGTGGTTGTTATACATATGGTGCCTATTGTACGTGATCTTGTGACTGGATTAAAGTTTGGATATAGTAATAAGGGTTGCTGTGATATAAAAAGCCAAGCACAATGTCCTAAATTATTCCACCTTATATTCACAGTGTAGGAACTATATCTTGGCTGCTCCCCATGTTCAAATTTGGTGTATTAATGATGTTTTTCAGATATTTTTCCAGCTAAGAAGAGGCCCTCAGTGTGGGGAAGAAGGCTTGATTCACATGTACTGTAGTCACAATGCAAGCCCATTTAACCATCTGCATGTATCTTGATTCAAACAGAAATATGATCACAATCTTCAGTTTACAACTGAAAGTGCAATAAAGGAGATCTCTGCCTAAGGCAGCAAGATCGAAAATAATTATGTTGAACAGCAATGCTGCCTTATCTTTTATAAGGCCTATTTTTAGGGTCTGTCTTCCTGATGTTTCACACTTCAACTCTAAGGAGTTCCATCTCATTTGAATCTCATTAGTAGCCAAAGAATTATGGAGGGCACCAGGTTAGGGAACACCTCTCCAGCACATAACAAAAGATTTGAGATTTGGAATTATGCATCTGATTTAACTAACCAGAAGTGGGGGAGGGGGGACCTAAAATGTCTCAAATCCTTCTACATTTCAGTTTGTGCTTTAAAAACCAAACTGCTATGAACACAAACAAATCAGGAAATTCTTGGAGACTATCCCAATGATATTTATAGAGACTAGAAATTGGTCTGCCTGATGAATATATTCAACATGTAAATAGTGGCTGTTCCCAGCACAATCTGAACTTGTATTCTGCAATATTGAATGTGGGTGATATTATGAAGCTGGAGACTTATTTCTGTCAAACTGCAGATCTTTTACATATTGCTTTTTTAGAAGAAAACTAAAAGTAGCAGATAAATAATATGGCATTACAACCCAGATCAAACTTTAGGTTCTTAAATGTCTGAAAAGCTGCTCTGCATAGTACGAAGGTATCTCAAGGTGAATGGCTACTAGAAATACAATACAGCAGTTCATCTGCTTAAAAAATGCCTCCAGAACCATTTTACTACATCATTAGGCTCATCGGACAACTTCCCTCATATCCTGAAGGCATTGTGTCTGGTAATATAAAGGTGTTCTCAGAAGTAAAACAGAGGAAGGGGACCTTGTGAGAATAGGTATCATAACAGAAATTTGACAATTGACATTATTTCACCAGATGTGGAAAGTAAAGGCAGAACTTGTCAATATGTGAATCATATTATTTGATCTGCTTTTCATTCACGAGCGCCAGGACATAAACACCCTATTCCTAATAACTCACCCTGTGAAGTAGATTGGGCTGAAAGAGTGAGTAGACAAAGTGACCCAGTTGAAAATGGACCAGAACCTGCATATCTATGCAGTCATTCAACCTCACAGTAACTACCGTGAAAGTCTGAGATAATAATAACAGTAATAAAACAAAGGACTGATTTCTATTAAATCGTCTCTACTTCTCATTGATCCTGAGAATAAATAGCAGTCATGACATTTTCTGAGTTCCTAGATCCTCATGACAGTAGTGTTATACTGCAGAGATGACTTATTTCTGCTACATGGATTACTGTCTCTCTATCCTTCAGCTAATTTGTTGGGAGGCAGAAAGCTTCTACCTTCTTTTTATTCCACATCAACAGACCATTGTTCAGAACATGGTCCAAGACAGATTTATCCATGCAACTAAATCTGTGATAATATCCCCTCCACCCCAAGTACTTTAAGTTATCTTCCCAAAACTAATGTTTTGACCTTCATGTTAAACAAACATATTAAATATAATGGGCTGAACATGTTTGAGCATTTTATTATTACTGCATTTGTGGTATTCTGTTTCTATATGGATGTCATACTTCCTTCTCAACGTTGCCAACATCAGAATTTCATCAGCATACATTAATCTTTAACAGGACTGACTTAAATAAATAAGTAGAATAAAAAATAGAAAAAATAGAAAAAAATGGCCAACAGGGATATGTGTTCACTATACTTCATGACTACTGACAAAGTGGCATTTTAAAAATCTGTGTGTATTTTTATATTTGGTTAGCCACTGAGACTCTGGTACTTGCAGCAGCATAAAAGACTGATAAATAAATTATAATGTAAGGATAAATTAACATCTGCCAATCATATACTCACTTGTGTCATAGAGACCTAAATGTATTGTAATGTTTCTACAGCAAGCTAAATACCATATCTTTTCTTCCTTCAAAACACTCATGGCAAAAATGTTATTATTGCAATGATTCAGCTTATGTTTTTTTCTCCACTCTCATCAAAACACTCATCTTTAGCATAAATGAAAGACAGAAGGTCATGCAGACTAAAAGAATCAGATTTACCTCACAGTTTTGACAAAAAATTCATTAACCAGTACAGACAAGCCTTTCTTGGTTCATATTTATGATCATATGCAGTATCCTGGGGTCATGTGATCACTTTTTGCAACCTTCTGATAAGCAAAGTCAATGGGGACAACAGATTCACTTAATAACCAGGTTACTAATTTAACTACTGTAGTGATTCACTTAACAACTGTGGTAAGGAAGGTTATAAAATGGGGCAAAGCACACTTAACAAATGTCTCACTTAGCAACACAAATTTTGGGCTGAAATGTGGTTATGAGGACTACCTGTAGGTACAGGTATTCTATTCTCTCTATTTATATTTGTTTGATTTGTACCAAGATGGAATTACTTACTTATGATCTAGTTATACTGAATGGGAAAGAGCCAAACTATCACAAGGCAATAAATCAACTTTAAGGAGAATGCAATTCTCACCTCTTTCTTATTCCGGGAAATGACATTTGGATCAATAGATCCCAGAGACAAGTTTGGCAGGACAAGGTTAAGTATTTTAGCTGCAAATACCTGAGGGAGAAAAATATAATTAATATCTTGGAAGGCAAGAAGAGAATTATAGATGTCAGTTTTGCAGGTGTCAGAAACTTTCTTTTTAGCTTAACCACTACATTGTTACTGCATTCCAGCTGACGATCTGCTCCTGAATGCCAACAAATGGATTTATTCCAAATGTACCAGAAAGGCCGAAGATTCTCAGGACTATTTATAAGGGAAAGCTTGATGCAACTGGCATTATTCCCCCAAACCTCTTTGTCCAACTTTAGGACTCCTACATTTCTTCCTGACAACAAAAAAAAAGAAGGAATCCTGGCTGAAGAAGTTGAGAGATAGCCAACTTTTCCCCCTCCTCAAGGGAAGTCAGGGTTGTTTGCCAGGGTTCCTCCTTGTTGGTATTCACTTTGTATTTTAGTTTCCTACAGTGACAATTGTAGCTTATGTGATTTACAATATAGTTCTTTCAACATGGTAAACACATTCTGAAGCAGGGATACAAATAAAGAGAAAAATGTATACACATTGATTAAAGAGATCTATTGCACAGCTAATTTCTGCAACTTAAATACAAAAAATATGAAGATACCAAAAGAAGAAAATACTTGAAAAAATTCCACTAATACGATTCTATAACTGCCTCCAATGCTGAATAATCTCTGATCTTCTGTAGATTACGTTCTAATTAACTGGTCATCACTTAAAAACAATGATAGCCAAGAAAATACTTTGCCAGGCCTATTTTAAGGACACATTCATTACTGCATGAAGTAATGTTTCCTGGAAAATGTAAAATGAAATCAGTGACCTTGATTTTCTATGAATCCATTAAATGTAATAATATCCATTAACATTTCTCCTGCATTAGAGATTGCTACAGACCGTGAGAAAAATATATTGTATTAATGATAAAAAATAAAGTAAAAGTTCTCCCAGAATAGAAAGTTTCAAAGCTGACACAATTTCAGAGGAGTCTATGACAGCTCGCCACAGCCAACTCGCCATGGCTGTCTCACCATGGCAAACTCGCCATAGCCAAATTGCTGAGGCAAACTCGCCACGGCAAACTCACCACGGGGCAACTCGCAGTGGGATAAGAGTTAGACTAATATTGAAGAAATAGTGGAATATTGAAGAAATAGTGGAATAGTGAATAATTAAAGAAAGGATGTCAAAGAAGGGACAAAATTAAATTTGAATGTCAAAAGTTAAAATACTTTAAAAATTATTTTAAATAATTAAATTGAATTGTTGAATTGTTCCGCAGTGAATTGTCATGTGGCAAGTTGGCCAGGGGGAATTTTCCCGTGGTGAGTTGGCTGCAGCGAGTTGCCCCATTCCGATTTCAGAGGCATTTACAGGAAACACAAGTGACATTGAACCAGTCTTCAGAAGGCTATGTTATGAAGTGCTGCTGTAGCATCTAATATTCCACCAACTTTTTACCAAATTAGATTTTGTTGGTTTAATAACTCCAATCCTTTTTCTTCCATTTTGCTAAATATTTAAGCTAATGAAGAATTCTGTTCCTAATACAGTAAAACTTCATTTTATCGTACCCCAGTTTAGTGGACTTTGAAGGCAATGAACAGAACTTTTACCTGAAGTAGTGCAGATGATTTAGTTAAATTACCATAATTTGTGTGAATTTACATCATTATATAAGACTAATGACATGAACTGACACAAATGACCAATTATATAATTGGCATTATTATGTAAGTGGCATAAATTTGGGTTTAATGGACGTTCAGGTTTAATGGACATGCTCTCCTGCCTAATGGTCTATTAAACTGATGTTTTCATGTACAAATATTGTCTATTAATTTTTGAATTTTTCAGAATATAAGTAGTCTAATTCTTATCTTATGGTTGCTAATATACCCTCTCCAACATATTAGGAATCAAGCTGATAGAAAAGGTACTGTATTAATATCTCACAAATTAATGACAATTATCCATATTGGAGTGATGCCCTTCTCACAAAACTAGCTTATTTATTAGTGGAATGTTCAAAAAACAGACTCAACTTTTAAAAACTTAGCCAATCATATGTGAGATAAAGATATTGCTAATCCTCAGTCCCATCAGCCTTTCTTTGTTAGATACCTTTTGAATAAGCAAGATCAGCAGCTAATTTAATGGTCTAATTGTAAGTAGTTGTAGTACTTATTACATAACAATTTGCTTTGAATTGCATTCATCCAAACCTCTCCTAAGTAAGCAGTTTTCTTTAAAGCTTGGTAAAGTGCTGAATAGACTGTGTGGCTGTACACTCAGGTTGTTGTTGTTGCTATCACTGCAGCTGCTACCTACATAATTTATGGGGCAACATTCCAAATTAGGAACAGGCAGGAGTGAAAATGTAGCTCCTTTCAGCAACCATTTAAAGAAGGTTTTTCATGAGCCCGTGGAAAAGTTCAGCTACTTTAAAGAGTTGCTAACAAGAGAGAGCTGTAATGAGAATCATTGACCCAAGAGTGCTTTACAAATTTTTGCAGCACACGGTTTAATAACTAAAGATCTAGAGAGACGGAAAAGGGAACACAGATAGTCCTCGACTTATGGAAGTTTATTTAGTGACCGAAGTTGCAACAACACTGAAAAAAGTGACTTATGACCATTTTTCACACTTATGACCATTGCAGCATGCCCATGGTCATGTGATTTATATTTGGATACTTGACAACTAACACATTTATGATGATTGTAGTGCGCAAGAGTCATGTGATCCCCTTTGGCAACCTTTTGACAAGCAAAGTCAATGGAGAAACAAATATGGCAAGAAGTGAAAAAATGGGGCAAAACTCACTTAACAAATTTCTCACTTAGCAACATAAATTTTGGGCTCAATTGTGGTCATAAGTTGAGGACTATCAGTATACAATACCCTTGTTAGGTCTGCTTACTTGATCTGATTCATCATATTGTACAATATCAGATAAGGTGATTGTATATATATGGTATGGGGGCATACATGACTGTTTATAAACTATCAAGGGGAGGAAATTTTTCCACAATAGGAAATTATTGTAGGCTGAGAATAAACTCCACGAATGAGTTCATAGACTAGCTGTGGAGCTAGTTGCTAATTTTTCCTTGCCAAACATAATAAAGTTTAAGCACCACCTACTTAAAATAATTATTTTTAGAACTGTCCGTTAGAAGTGAAGCTAAACTTATCTGAAACCCCCACCAAAAAAACCCCATATCCATCACTCTAGTCAACCCAATAGAGGTTGGTACAGAAGCTGAGGTCTCAATGGTTCTAAGAGACCTCCAAAAATTGTTACCAGATTGTATTTTTAATATGACTGAAAGGGGAAAGCTGATTAAATACAGGAGAGGAGAGCAATCCTATTAACTGCATTCAACTGTGGAAATAAATTTTTGTCTTGGCCTTACCAATTGCATTTTGGAGAGCGGCCCTGGGGATACCACTCAAAGCTTAAGAGTGGCTTTCTGCCCAGAGAAAGCTGCACACTCTATGCTAAGTTATGAATTGTTTTAACCATGCCTTCTGAACATGTCACAGGGCTTCATCACTCAAACACCGTGGTTTACAAACCACAAAGAGTTCACACACCAGGCTAAGCAAACTGCATTAAGGCGTAGCATAGCATGGGAACTTAGCCAGAGATCGTGCATCTGGAAACTGAGGGAACAAAAGCAGCTTGGGAAAAGAGATTTGTCAAAATAAATCTACAGGAAATGGAAAAGGTTAGTACAAGGTTCTTGCTCTAAATTGCAATTCTGATTTTTGTGAGAAAAAGGGCATCTTCATTTATTATAATAAGTACTTAATCTTTCAGCATTTGCATTGACTACAAGCCTTTTTACATTCAATGTTAGGAAGAGCCTTACATTCATGCATTTAAAAAAAAGAAAATAGTGCTCTACCACATATAGAGAGGTTAGGATGGCGAAAGAAAGGGCTATTATCTCAAGATAGTAAGATTTTTATCTGACATTTAGATAGTGTGCCTGGAATTAAATGAACACCTTTTTTTTTTACCTTGATCGGTGTTGCTACATCAGGACTTGCAACTACTAAAGGAGAAATTAATACCATGCCTGAAAAGTCATTTGGTCTTTCGCACGCGGTGAGGATGGCAATGGCTCCTCCCTGAAATGAAAAAGCAAGCAATGGGTTGATGATTGCTAAGACTATTGATTTCAGTAAAGCAGAGGTGAGAAGATTGTGCAACACTACAACTCCCAGTATGTCTTACCATTGGCATGCTGGCTGGAATGGCAGCTGAGTTGGAATTTAGGAATATCTGAAGTGTCATGGTTGCCTCCCCCCTTCCCCAGCCATATAACAAAAAGAGATGACAAGCACTTATGGGCAGGTACATTATCAAGGTCACTTGTCTTGAGAACTTTGCCAATTTATTCTGGCAATGACTTATTATCGCAATGGCCACAACAATATTCAATTTCCTTCTGTACCCAGAGAAAGACAAATGTAGATAAATTCCATTATTGTGGACCACTGATTCCAACCGGCAATATAAAATAACAGACAAAAAACTTCAAAGGAAGTGTGGAGGTGATAATTTCAGAACTTATGTAATGAATACAAGCATGTATCACCAAGTGTGCAATTCACTTGCATTGGCAGCAGAATCTCATTGCAGCGCTTCAAAAGGTGTTTCAATACCAATTCTAGGCATTGTACAACATTGGAATACCCAGAAATACAACTGCCCAAAAGAAATCATCCTAGGAATCACAATACAGCTATTAGGTGCTTGTTAAAGAATGTTCTTTTTTATTTATTTATTAAACTCATATATTATTCCTTTACAAGAAAAACCAAAAATACAAAAAAGAAAAAAAGAAATGTAAAACATTTTCCCTGCTCCCACAAACTATAATCAGATTTTTATAAAATGCAAGAGGAAAGACAGCATTTTCCAGGCAGTATGGAAAAAACTGGCTCCCAGCATGTCCATAAAGCCCCAAAAATGGAAGAGAAGGACAAGCAGACAGGAGTAAATCAAGAGATTCATAATGAGTTAAGCAATGATGCAACTAGAAAGAAGGGAGTGGCAAGTAAACAGTCTGATCAAGCTGTGGGATGAAACAGAAGCCAAAGGTGACCCAACTATATTCTGAAGTTATATTAAGACGACATCAATATGTGGTTGTATTAAAAATTGTATGATTTAATGAACTGTGATGGTGCACTGGTTAGAATGAAGGCTACTTCTGCTGACTGCCAGCTGCCTGCAGTTAGGCAGTTCGATTCTCACTGGCTCAAGACTGGCTCAGCTTTTCATCCTTGGTAAAATGGTTGGTAAAATGAGGACCCAGATTGTTGGGGGCAATATGCTGACTCTGTAAACAGCTTAGAGATGGCTGTAAAGCACTATGAAGGTGTATAAAAGTCTAAGTGCTAAGCACTATTAAAATAAAGAATGATAAATATGTTTTATTTTTTTGTAAAGAAGAGAATAATAGCTGTTTGGGAAGCAAATTTTAAGGCCTTTTTTGGAGTTTTGAAGCTAGATATAAGAAACAAAGGAATTTGAAGGCATAACTTTCATCTCTTATAAATCTTGACTTGATTTGGCATAGTCATTTTAAAAAAAAGAATGCCAAGACAGTTTGGGACTGCAAGCTTAAATGCTCCCTCTTCAAGCCAAAAGTATGTATCTCAACCTCAGTAAGCAGGAGAGTTCAGCATGATTCACAAATAGTTGCCATGGGAAATCCTTGGAGAACTGTATTAAAGATACATCATTCTGTTTACTTGCAGGAATAAATTTGTGTGTATATGAATATGAGGACTATTTCAATTTCAGCTTATGCTACCATCTCTTTGTTTTAAAGGTTTACCATGAACTTCAGATCAGATATCATCTTGTTAATTTCTGATTAGAGATGGTTATGCTCACCTTAACTTTGTTTCAAAGCCCACTTTTTTTGTTTTGATATTTCTTTGAAGACACTCAGCAAAAAAGTTTAATTTTTTCATGCAAGTCCCCATCGCTATTATTCAATGCTCTTTTATAAACCTAGAGTAAATTTTGTAAAAGAAGTAAGTTTCTTAAAGAAGCTTATCAGACCTGGAAATGATTAACAGAGCATGAGCACTTTCATTTCATTTTCATTTCATTTTAATTTATTTGTATGCCGCCCTTTCCCCCAAGGGGACTCAGGGCGGCTCACAACTCGAAAAAGGGAGGGGAAATACAAACAAAGTTACAAAGATATAAAACCATACATAGTTAAAAACACAACAATCATACCAGTCGGAGTCGAAGTGGGGCAGCGAGTCTTTAGCCCCAGGCCTGTCGGAACAGCTAGGTTTTAAGGGCTGTGCGGAAGGCCTGGAGGGTG